GTGAATGTGTAACTGATGTGATTCTGCAATCTGTATTTGGGGTAAAAATGGGAGTTCATAACTCACTTGAAACTAATGTCTAAAATATGATATGTCAAGAGCCGTGTAAGGTTTTGAACAACCAATAAAAAAAACAGAATTTATTATAATTTACATTTTCTGGTTTTAATGGAAGCAAACTGATCAATAGATTTTTTTTCTAATTTGTTACATATGACAGCAGAATGCATTACAATTTGTATTACACATATAGAGCACAATTTTTCATATCTCTGGTACACAAAGTAGAGTCACACCATTCATATCTTCATACATGTACTTAAGGTAATGATGTCCATCTCATTCCACCATCTTTCCTACCCCCATGCCTCCTCCCTTCCCCTCCCTCCCCTTTGCTCTATCTAGAGTTTGTCTAATCCTTCCACATTCTCCCTTGCCAACACTACTATGAATCAGCATCTGTATATCAGAAAACATTTAGATTTGTTTTTTTGGGGGGATTGGCTAACGTCACTCACTTAGCATTATATTCTCCAACTCCATCCTATGAAGAATCCTTGGAAAACTGGGAATGAAACCAACATTTGACCCTGCTATTCCATGCCTCGGTCTATAACCAAAGGACTTGAAAACAGCATACTACAGGGACACAGCCACATCAATGTTTATGGCAGCACAATTGACAATAGCTAAACTGTGGAACCAACCTAGATGCCCATCAGTTGATTAAAGGATAAAGAAAATGTGGTATATATAAACAATGGAATACTATTCAGCATTAAAAGAGAATATTTTTCAAGTTGATCCTTTGCTTATCACATTTTCAGTTGAGAGGGTTGCCATATTTGACAAATTCTATTTACCAAGTGTGATCAACATTCAATATGTCTGTAGTATAAGGTTTTCACAGATGCTTTTTTTTTGATTGACAAAATTCCTTCAATTCCCACCTTAATTAGAGGTATCTAACACAAATGTGTGTTGAATTTTGTCCAATGCTTTTCTGCATTATAGAGTTAGTTCCCTTCCTTTCTTCCTTTCTTCCTTCCTTCCTTCCCTCCCTCCCTCCTTCCTTCCTTCTTTCTTGTCTTAGGGATTAAACCTCAGGTGCTCTACCACATTGAGCTATGTCTCCAGTCTTTTTTATTTTTTATTTCTAGACAGGATTTTGCTATTGCCCAGGCTTGCCTCAAACTTGGGATCTTCCTGCATCAGTCTCCCGAGTCCCTGGGATTACAAGCATGTACCTCTGTGTCTGGCCTCTTTTTTATTCTTTAATAAATAGTTCTGATAGTTGGTGAATCACACAGAATATTAAATATCTAAACCACATTGTACTCAGCGATGAAACCACTTGTTCATCTTGTATTATACTTTTTAATATATTGTTAAATTGGATTAATATTTTCTTGATAATTTCTGTGTCTGTGTTCATGAGAAAAATCAGCCTGTAGGGGTCTGTTCTTGTTTCTCTTCTAATTTTTATGTCAGGGTAGTGCTGGTCTCATGTGGTGAGTTGGGAAGTGTTCTTTCCTATTCAATTTCCTGTGAGAGAGTACATAGAATTTCTATTTTTAATCCTTTCAAACATATTTGGTAGAATTGTCTGGTGAAATAATCCAGGCAAGAAGGTTGTGTTTTAGAAGGCTTTCCTGTGTTAGCTCAATTTCTTTCATGGATACAGATATAAAATGACTTCAGATTTCTACTTCTTACATCAGTTTTGGTATTTTTCCATTTATTGTTGGCAAACTCTCAAAATGTTCTTCACTTATTTTCTTATTATCTACTCAAGGGGACTGTCTTTGCTGGAAAATTATATTTCTCCTATTTTTTGCCTAGCATACTTATAGCTTTGCAAATTTATTGCTCTTATAAAGCATCAAATTTTTGTCTCATTGATTTTTTCTATTATCTTCTCTATCCACTCATATTTATTTTTATTTTCTTCTACTTACTTTCCCCATCCCACTCCTATCTTTATTATTTCTTTTCTTTTATTCTACTTACTTTGGTTTTAATTAGCTCTTTTTTTCTGTGTATTTTTTATTAGTTGCTCAAGACAATACAATGATCTTGACATATCAAGATCATTGTATTGTCTTGAGGTATGAATGAGGTATGAATTCTTATTTTTCCACGTGTACAGATTGCAGGATCACTGTTTTAAACTCAATAATATATTATAAACATTTAAAATACAAATTTCCCTATGGCTATACCTTGCATGGCTTACATAACTTGTGTGTTTTGTTAAGTGTGAAATTTAGAACAGCATCAAATTCATAAGAAATTGCAAAGGTAAGTACAGATATTTCCCATGTATGCCATACCCAGTTTCCCCTGTTATAGTATTTTATACTGTGGTGCATTTGTTACAATTAGAGAACAAAGTCTGCATTTTATTTTTGTTTCCTTAGTTTTCCTAATGCCCTAGTTCTGTTCCAAGATCCCACCAAGGATACCACTTTATATTTATTAGTTGTGCAACTTTAGACTCCTCTTAGTTATGAAAGTTTCTCAGATTTTCCTTGTTTTTTTTAGCACTTCAACAGCTTTGAGGATTACTGGTGGGGTGTTTTGTAGAACTCCCTGAACTTGCATTTGTAAGATTTTTTGTCGTAGTTATATATTCCATTTTTGTGCAATTATAAATAATGCTATTATAAACACTTATGGGCAGGTTTTTTTGGACACCAATTTTCAAATTAATTGATTGAACACTTAGAAGCATTTTTGCTAGATAATGGGCTTAGAGTATACTTAGTTTTGTAAGAAATTGCCAAATTGTCTTCCAGAATGGCTGTATCATCAGTGAATGAATGAATGAGATTCCTCCTGTTTCTCAACATCTCCCCACTTGGTGCGGTCAGGTTTTGGATTTTAACCAATCTTATAGGTACACAGTGGTATCATATTATTGTTTTAATTTGCAATTTTTCTGATGACAAAAGAAATTGAATATCTTTCCATAACTAAACTTCCATAACCATATTACTTTGGTAAAGTGTCTGTTCATGTATTTGCCCATTAGAATTTTTTCATATTGCTGGATTTTAAGTGTTTTTACATATTTTGAATACAAGTTCTTAGTCATACATGTGTTTTTACCCAAGTCTGTGACTTGTCTGTTGGTTTTTAAAAAATTTTACTGGGTTATACATAAAAGTTCCTTTTGATATAATTATATATGCATGGAATGTATCTTATTCTAATTAGGATCCCAATCTTGTGGATATACACAATGTTGAGATTTACTGTGGTATATACTTACATGTGCACAGGAAATTTATGTCAGATTCATTCCACTGTCTTTCCTATTCTTATCCCTCCTACCTTCCTTTCATTCCTCTTTCCCTAATCCACTGAACTTCTCTCTCTCCTGTGCCCCCTTATTGTGCATTAGCTTCCACATATCAGAGAGAACATTTTCCCTTTGTTTTTTTTTTTTTGAGGGGGTTGTCTTAAAAATATGGAATATTTCAGGAATTTGCATGTCATCCTTGTACAGGGACCATGTTAATCTCCTCTGTATCATTTCAATTTTAGTACATGTGCTGCCAAAGTGAGCACTATTGATTTTCTTAATTGCGACTTTCACAGAAGAGTTTTTGATTTGAAAGTCAAAATTGATCATTTTTCTTTTAGGGATTGTGTTTGGAATGTTGTGTTTAAAAACTCATCCCTCGATCCAGGGTTTTCTAGATTTTTCTCATATGTTTTCTTCTGAAGTTCTTCAGTTTTTCATTTTACATCAAAGTCTATAATATTTGGGGGTCATTATTTGTGAAAGAGTGAAGTGTGTGTCCAGCTCTTCTTTTTCATTTATTCATAAATGTCCAAAGGTAACACCATTATTTGTGGGAGAGGCTTTTCCCACTGGATTATCTTTCTAAATTTATATTCACTATGTCAAATTATACAAACTAGTTTGTTGGAATTTTGATTGATTTATAGATCAAGTTGGAAAATATTGACATCTTAATCCTATCCACCTTTATTTCATAAATAGGGGATATCCTTCTATTTGTATGGATCTTCTTTTATTTCTTTCCTCAGAGTTTGTAGGTTTCTGGATATAAATACCATACATATCATTGTACTCATCTTGTGAGATTTATACCTAAGTATCTTTTATGTCATTGCAAATCATATTGTCTTTAAATTTCCGATTACAGATGTTTTAATGCTGCTACATAGAGAAGCAATTGACTTTGGTATATTAACCTTCTTTTATTCACTTATTCACCTCCTGTTTTTTTTTTTATAGATTCCTTGGGATTTTCTACATAGATAATTAATTCAGCTATGAACAAAAGCAGTTTTATTTCTCTTTTCTAATATGTCTATCATTTCTTTTCTCTTTCCCTTTCTTTTATAATTGCATTAATTGGGACTCCAATACCATGTTAAAATAGAATAATAAGAGAAAACATACTTAACCCTTTATTTATTTTTTTAATCATATGGAGAAAGCCTCCAGTTTCCTACCATTGGGTTAACTGTGGTTCTTTTGTAGATGTTTGGTAGAAAGTTAAGGAGTTTTCTTGATTCCTAGTTTGCTGAGAGTATTTTTGTCACTAATAGATGTTGGATTTTGTCAAATGATCTTTATGTACATCCATTGATGTAATAATGTAGTTTTTCTTCTTTAGCTTATTAATGTGGTAGATTACTTCACAGATTTCCAAATGCTGAACTAGCCTTGCACCCCTGGAATAAATTCCACTTGTTTTTGGTGTGTAATTATTTTTATTTATTTTTTTGGATTTAGTTTGTTAATATTTTACTGTACATTTTGCATCTATGTTCATGGGGAATATTGGTTTGTGATTTTTCTGTTCTTATGATGTCTTTGTAATGTAATTTTCTGTTATTGTAATGTCTGGTTTTGTATTACAATACTCTGATCTCATTGAATGAGTTAGACAGTGTTTCCTCTGCTTCTATTTTCAGAATTACGGAAAACTATCATTTTATCCTTAAATATTTGGTAAAATTCACAAGTGAAAATAGGAATGATATTTTCTTATTGTAAGGTCTTGATTATAATTCAATTTTTAAATAGATATAGACCTTTTCTGATTATCTATTTATCTTTGCATAAGTTTTGGTAGTTTGTCTCTTTTGAGAAATTGGTCTAATTAATCTAAATTATTAAATTTGTGAGCATAGAGATGCTAATAGTATTCCTATATTTTCTTTTTAATATCTTCAGACTCAGAATGTTGACTGCTTCTTTCATTTCTCATACAAATAAGTTTTATCTTTCCTTTGTTCTTTATTATTCTGGCTATAAGTTCATTACTTTTATTGACCTTTGCAATGAATCAGCTTTAGGTTTTATTGATTTTTCCCTATCATTTTCCTGTTTGTTATTTCATTAATTTTCTTTAATTTTATTATTTCTTTTCTCCATCTTACTTGAGGCTTAAATGGCTTTTACTTTGTTTTTATTTATTTATTTACTTATTTATTGTGGTGGTGGGTATTGAACATATTGAACATGGGCTTTGCCCATGCTAGGTAAGGACTCTACCACCTAGTTCCCTTAAAGCACTTTTATTCATCTTGTTTCCCAGGTGAAAACTTTTTTTTTTTTTATTGGTCGTTCATAACATTACATAGTTCTTAATACATCATATTACACGGTTTGATTCAAGTGGATTATGAACTCCCGC